CCGACGGACGATAACCCACACCGGCGCTCGCAGCAATTCAGGTGATTTTCACGCCATTTTCGCTCATATTCGGTACCTCCAGCGGCGACTACTCGCGGAGGACGCAGTTGAACGACTGTTTAATGTGGTACGAAAGCTGAAGACTCACCCGGCTTTCGGTGAGTTTGTCAAATACTTTCCAGGTATCACCAATGTGCGGGAACCTGCATAAAAATTATATTTTTTCAAAATTGATATGCGAAAATGGAAGGGTAATACTTTTGAAAGATTATTGGGGAAGCTTTCCAGCCACGTGTCATTTCTCAATTTTCCGACTCCTGCGCAAGTGACCCCGGCACCTCACCACGGCCTCTTATCACCCCGCCGCCTCACAGACCCACTCACCTCAAACCGACCCCTCCGCCCAAAAGTCGAGCTGCACCCAAAAGGGGGACGGGGGGCATGCGCCCTGAGCGGAGTCAGGCTGAGGATTCGAATGAGGTCCCTAAGGGATTAGAGTTGGTGTCTGTTGGAGGCAGAGTGACGCACCCAAAAACGACTAACACGACCGTCTAGCCGCCATGACGGGTGTTTAGCCGCGGCGAGAACTTGGATGGCGACAAGAACGGATCAGGTATGTCCAATTCGACAATTTGCAAGCAATGGATCGAATGGAAGAAGATACGAAAAGATGAGTGAGTCAAGAAGCGCAGCAATGAGTGAATGAGTTAGTGTGAAGGAATGTGTCTGCGAGTGAGTGAGTGAACGAGTGAACGAGTGAAGATACACGGAAAAGATGTCCAAGGCAATTCTCTCATTGTTGGACAAGCCTTACGTGTGCATTTCAACGGTTTTCAAGAAAATGTGCGCATTATTGTATTATCTTATTACACGGCCACCCCTACTCGGCCCTGACTAAGATATTACATTGCTTCATTCCGCTGGGGTATCTCGTACGAGTCGCCATCCCGAAGTCCTTTTTGGCTGTTGTCGGTAATGCATACACATTCGGTAATGCATACATAATATTACCGACAACAGCCAATAAGGACTTCGGGATGGCGACTTGTACAAAAGAAATCAGGAAAAAAAATACCCCAGCGGAATGAAGCAATGTAATATCTTAGTCAGGGCAGAGTAGGAGTGGCCGTGTAATAAGATAATACATAGCAACTTTCAACTGAGCCACACAGGCTAAGCACTATCAAGCAATTTTCCAGATATAGTCAGCAATTACAACCTTGTGCCGATAGGTACTCGGGACATTTGTAGTCACTTATTCAGGTAAGATGAGCCTTAATGTTGATGACCGCTAGCTGCTAAGAAGTATACGGTTTAGGTGCCACGATCGATAAAATTTCAAAATATCTATCGGATTTGCCCCGGGGTTGTGCAGACAGAGAAGAGAACTGTTAGTGTCCCTTCTATGTGTGACGCCGCCGCAAAACAGCTTTTTTCATTGCTACCACCCGCGGCGCAGAAGCAGCAGAATGATTCATGCCTCCGCCCGGGATTGAACCGGGGACCTTCTGTTTAAAAGCAGATGCTCTACCACTGAGTTATACAGGCTGTCTCGGTAGCGTGGGTTAGGTGGTCAATACTTCTGGGCCTCATGGTGTGTGGTGCGGGTTTGAGCCCAAAATCGTAATCGAACCAGACATGCACGAATTGTCGACTGCATGCTAAATATTACCGACAACAGCCAAAATTAGACTTCGGGGCTACCTGCTAAGAAGTATAGCCTTAATTATCTTTCGGCTATAATCAATTTCTAAGAAAAGCATCCGCGACCCGGAAGCAATTACCTCTTGCCTGAAGATGCTCACCCGCGACAAAAATGCGTAAGTGAAATGCCTCTAAAATAGGTCCAATTATACGGCCTTATGAAGTCCTACAAAGCTGGATCTTTTTTATCAAGTGTTAAGCCCTTTGGGGTAAATTTCAGTAAAATATATTCAACATTAAGCTAAATGTATTTCTAGCCATTATTCGAATGATTAGTCCGATATTTATAGATACTGCTATGAATAAAAGTTTTTGACTGTACCAGCTTGTCACTTGTACATAAGGAACAGCTAGTGCATGTGGAATTTTTATCAAAGTTCGATGAAATCTCGCGATGACGAAGAGGTATCTTACCCTCGTGGAGAACAGGCAACTGGAAAGAATGGACGAGTGTGGCTTGGTGCGCTTCAAGGAAATCGTGCTGAGGTTGTTCCAGCATCCAATCGAGTTTCTATGAGAGTGGCGGAGCAGGAGCGTCAAATTCGTCTCTCACGCTCTAATCGCAAGTACAAGTATTTATTGTTGCCCGACTCAATGATTCGATATTGCTGGGACCTTCTTCTAGCCATTGCAACCATTCTCCTCATATGGCGCGTACCATATACGATTGCTTTCGGAGACAGTGATCTTTGGTATTGGTTTTTATTCAACAAGACTACTGATGCAATATATCTGCTTGATGTTGCATTAAATTTTCGGTACATGCTGACAAACAATAACTTCGAGTTTATTGACTTTTTAACTCGTTCAGATGGTTCTAGAACAGGATATGTAGAAGATACAGAAATTATCATGGACAGCCGTTTGGTCGCCAAACACTACTTCAAAGCGAGTAAACTATGGAGCTATTTAAGGTTTTAGCAACCTAATTGTGTCTCTTTCATGACATGTGGACAGAGTTGGTTTATTGTGGACCTTATTGGATCGATTCCAATCGAGTACATCATCACTGTCAAAACAGCCGGCATATCCAGTGTTGAAAGAAAAGCTTTTAAGGCTTCAGTGAAATACATGAAACTTCCGGTACGGGCTACATTTTGCATGCATGTAAAACCTTAATGAAATTCAACTAAGCGATAATCATTTCAGAAGCTTTTTCGTGTGGCTCGGCTCATTAAATTCGTTCAGTGAGTACTGAAAACTGATCAGCAAATTAGAGCTTACAATAATTTTGCTTCCGTTTCCAGGAAGTACATGAAATTTGCGTATGCTGTTCAAGTATTTGCTTGCTACATTTCGTTTATCCACTGGGTCGCTTGTTTGTGGGCTGGACCGATGTTAGGCCTAACAGACGTGGAAGACGAGCAACTAGTCTACAATGAGGCACTTTACTCAGCAGTGCTTCTAATGCTTAATATCTCTGCAGCTACCGTGGAACCCAAGTGGCAGTTCGTGAGTGCTCTTCTTGGGGTTGTGGGCTTCTTGTTCCAAGGTTTGACACTCGCAAGTATTACAGCAGGTGTGATTGGGTCCAGCTCACGAGCATTGCAATATCAGGAAAAAGTTCGATTGGTTATGAGCGATCTGAAAGCGCTTCATGTACCAAACGAAATGCGCAAATCCACAAAGAAGTACTACGAAACTCTATGGCGCATGAAAAACACTTCTGACAGGTACGAAAAGGCCATATATGATGACGAGGACCTCTCACCAGCATTAAGAGCTGAAATTGCATTGTACATCCATCGAAGTCTCATTGCGACGGTCCCCTTATTTCAGGACTGTTCCGATTCCTGTCTTGCTGCTTGCGTCATGAAGTTGAAGACGGAGCTTTATATGCGCGGCGATGTAGTCTTTCACAAAGGTGATCCGGCAAACTCTATGCTCATAATCAGTCGCGGAGAAGTTAAAGTCATTTCACCTGATAATGAAGGTCTTCTTGCAATACTTAAGCAGGGTAGTTTTTTTGGCGAAATTGGCCTTTTGCGTCACATGACGCGCTCATGTACAGTAATCGCGGGCACTTTCTGCGAATTAAAGTCGCTGGTGAGAAATGATGCTGAAGGAATCTTTGTTGCTTACCCACATATTTACGATCGGCTTTTTGCCGAGGCTGAGAAGCGCCGACTTGAAACCCGTATGAAAGCAAGACTTTATAACGTCAATGTTTTAGACAACGCCCATGCCGTGGATGTCAGTAGTATTGTGGATGTACCCGCAGGAGAGATTAATCGAACATCTTTTGTTGATGGGGCTGCTGACGATAAACCTTTAGCGACAGTATCTTCAGATTCTCGTATTAATTCGTTTCGAACTGACGATAGCATTGCTGTCAATCGTGAGCTGGACAGCATGGACAGCAATCTTCACGAAGTTCAGCGCTTAATCGAAACATTAATGGCAACGCAGGGTCGACTGTCTCGAGTTCAGGAACGACGGCAGTCAATTCATTTGGCACTGAGTCCTCTTCAGCCCATCAACAGCATCAACTCAGCACTATTTAATGATTCATCATGTAAAGGTGACTTTAGAAGCAGCAGTCCCAATCGCAAGCGAGATTCTTTTCGAGAAGTACAAGGATCAGTCAGGTAATCACGAGAGTATCCGCTCTTTTTCTATATATTTTATCAAGATACGAGGCAAACAAATGTAATTAAGTGTCATCCAAAGCTACTATACCACATAAACTAGCCCCCATGTCGTTGGGTTCAAATCACAGATCCAAAACGCAATATTTCGTTTGCGAAAGTTACTCTTTACCCTGTGCATGTGATGGTTTATCACCTTTTTCCTTCTACTAGCAGAGTTGCATGGACGACAAAGTGAGTATTGATAGTAATTCATCACATCTGCCGCAAATGACGCATTTACCTTCTTGTCAGTAAGTGACCGAGAAGACTTAGTCTTCTCCGGCCGGCTAAGTAGATTATTAAAAAAGTTCTGCAAGTGTTTCGAGCTTACGTCCTTTTCTTCGCGCTTTCTGCGGTCGGCAGCAATTCGACGGGCAACTGCTGCCTGCTCCGTTTTTTTGCTCGCTTCGATACTTTGCTTTTGTAGTTCTTCTAGCCCAGCACCAGCAGTTTTCTCAAGCTTTTCCAGCCACTGCTCGTGGCTATCCAGACGAACTTCAGCAACGATCGATGTGGCATTGTCCTCTGTATCGTCTGCCGGTGGTGGGACGATCTTCTCAAACGGCTTGTCTACGGGCCAACGAGCTTGGGATCCAACAAGACTTTGATTAATCAGTGCAAAAGTGTCATAGCCCGA